GGTAGGCGCAGCTGCTGCGGGGGCTGCCTCTGCTGCCCCCCTGGGTATGTGATGGGGAGGCAAGAGCTGGAGACAAGGGCAGGGGAGTGCTGGGACAAGCCAAAGGGCAGGGGAGTGCTGGGACAAGCCAAAGGGCAGGAGAGGGGCGGAAATGTAGGATACAGCTGTAACCTTCCTCCCTTTTTCTAGCTCCAGATAGTGCACCAGCTCTGGGCACGTGGGGCCATGCAAGACCTTGCTCTTCAAGGCATCGGGGTGAGATATGGGGATGGTGGAGGGGAGCAGTCAGCCCCAGGGGCTAAGGACACTGAAGCTGTCAGGTTGCCAATGGGGCCTGAGTGCACAGAGTGTTTTCCAGGTTTCCAGGACAACCTTTGCTCTGAGCTGACGGGCTGATTCGGTGTTTCAACCCCTTCCTTTGCAGATGAGTTCTCTTGGGTTCGTGCTGCCTGTCCCCACAGACCGTCCTCTTCCCTGTCCTTCCCTTCCTCCCCTTAATCTTCCCTTTTCTTTTGTCTTCCCATCCAGCTCATCCCTCTCCTTCACAAAACCCAAGGCCCATAAAAAAATCACACTCAGTACAGTACTAACCCCTACTTGGCCAACTCAAGCCTGGAAATGCTCCCACTGTTCCCATCCCCTGGTTCCCCATCACATCCCCTGTCTCATCTCTTCAGAGAGGACCGAAGTTTGGGGTTGCACCTGCAGCTCTGTGTCCAGAAAGAGCAGGACAGGCCCCAGGCTCCTTTCCTTCTGCACAGTCCTCTCCTTAGTGTCTCCTTATTGAATCAATGGGATTTGGTACTTACCTTATCTCTAGCACGCTGCAGCGTACAAAACTCTGCTTTCAGCATCACTGGGAATCGTTCAATGACATCCACGAGGATGCAGCTGCAGCTGTGCCCTGCTCTTCTCTGGGCCTGGAGGTTCGTTGTCTGTTAGACATATCAGGTCACCAGAATGTGCCTTTTCTGATGCTGCAATTTTAGGTAGATGGTCCAAAGAAAACCTGGCTGCTCTCTGGAGTGACAGCTAGCTTGCAGCCTGACACAAATGAGTAGCATAGCAAGATGGAACAGATTTTTGCCCCAGGCCTTCTCTGCTGATGTGTTAAGTTTGGCAGCATCATTTGGAGAAGAAGTGAATTAATCTTATTGGACTTGCGTACAAAAGAGACTGGGGGGAAAAAAAGGGAAAAAAAAAGAAAAGGATGTGTGAATCCATGTTGATTATTTTGAAGCCATAAACAAGTGGCATCAGAAAAGAATTTGACAACCATATGGACTTTCAGAAGTGTGAAATCTTCTGAAAGTTATATGCAATCATGTAAAGATTGGCATGAAAAAAAAGAAGACTTGAGATATGGATGGCTGCGAAATATAGACAGTGGAATGCAATCTGTGATACAGGCATTAAGATTCTGGGTACATGAAAAGAATGCTATATAGAAAAGAAGTATTTAAATTAAATTAAATTAAATTAAGTTACATAAGAGAATTCTCCCAAAGGTGATAGGAATAACAGTCCTATTTCTTATTGCTGGTTCTTAGAACTAGACTCTTTAGGGAGCTGCAGTCTCAGGGACTGAGGAACAACTCTTCCATTAAAATAATCATTGTTCTCCTGGGAAGCTTCACTGAAGATGCCACATGCAATCTGGATTTTGCACAGGGCAAAAACTACAGGTACAAGAGAGCAGGTCCTGCTGACGGCCATCAGGCTGTTTCTGCTGAGTTCAGTAACTAATGTGACAGTGCTAGGTTTGTCCCCTGATGTTGACCAAGAGAGTGAACATCACCACTTCTTATCCCAGAGCTTGGGAGGTCCTGGCATTGCCCCTGAAAGGCAAGTAAGAGGACAAGAAAGCAGATTTATGGATTTTGTAACTTTGGTTACGTGCCATACATGTGTATGGTGGGGACATCCTCGTGGGCCGCAGGGCCTGACAGATGAAGGTGCATGATATGAAGTCACCCACATACCAGGAAAGGAGTTAAAAGGAGGGAAATGGGGAAATAATTGGCAGGGGCAACTCGTCGGATCTGGACAAGGGCCACCACGCTGCGTGAGGTCTTACCTGCTAGGAGAAGAGAAACTTGAGAAGCCTGAACTCTGTCTGGGTGACTAAGTGCCACTCTGAGGCTCTTTACAGCCTGAGTGTTTTATGCCTTTTCCCTGCAGGTTATCACAGTGCACAATACTGTGAGATACAAATTGCAGCAAAAATCTATTCAGGCTTGATTTATAAATGGTTCTGATTTGTCTCTGATTTAAGCTTCCCCTTTGGCAGCAGCCCAGGTCCAGATATTGGTTTGTAATGCTCATCACACCATGAGAGAATGGGAAAAGCAGATGAAAGGTGAAACACTGAAAGTGGAAAACAAACCAGCTGTGCCATCCTAAAGCGGCAGGAACAAAAGTAAGCTGAATGCTCAGAGAAGAAATGATCTATCATGAGAAAACACAGATCAGGGCAAAAGCTGGCTTTCAGTTATCGATAGAGATGTATGATGGAATGAAATGTATGATGTATGTGAAATGCATCTATTTTGTATTGTGTAAATGTACCTAGTTTGGACATTGGATCTCATACATCAGTAGAACTTTGGCTGTGAAGTTACCGTGGTTTGGAAAGAGGAAGATGATGTTGCCTATGCATCCTGTAATGCACATTACTGTGGCTCACCAAAGCACTGGGGTCTCAGCCCAAAGAAATGCAAAGATGACTGATATAGGGGAGCCCAGAATCAACTGAAAGAGCCTAGCTGATCTCTCAAGGGAGCACTTGTGGGATTTTGGAAGCCCTGTAAAATGTGTGTTTGTTTAACTCAGCAAAGGTGTGTGAAAGTTAGTAACCATCATCTCTTCCCCCTTCAAACTGACAATCACTTAATTGCCTCAATGGAAAAGCTGCTATTTGAGCCCCTTCCTGGCATGTTTTGCATCCTCCTGAGAAGGAGAGGCAGGCGGCAGTGGCTGCTCCTTCTCCATCAATAGCAGATATTCCCTGAGCCACAGAGAAAGCAAAAGGCCCCTCTGTGGTGTGGTGTATAACCAGGCCCTCGTATGGGAGCTCCAGGATCCAGATCTCTAAGAAGCAGTTAAAAATTTTTTACGTGGTTGGTTCATTAGTACAGCCACACCAGTCTGAAAAGGGTGGAAACTTGTGTGCACCAAACTTGTGGGCCCAGCAGCTTCTTTTGGCTACATCCATCAACAGATACCCTGCCTCCCTACAGACTTCACAGGTCTTACACAAAGTGGAAAGTTTCAGCAGGAGGACTTCAGAGCAGCCTGCCTTGGCTGTCTGGGGAAGGGGGCAGGAGGCAGGGAAGGATGAGCTCCTGGAAGATCCAGGCTTTTCGACTGCACGGCAGGTCAGATGGGAGGATGTGCATGTGTGTCTCTCATAGCCCAACTATGGCGTCCTATCACTGAGGCATCATAGGAAACCGAACTCGGAAGCAGGTAAGGGAGGTGAGAGGGATCCCAGCCTTGTTCTGCCATTGCACGGGTTCAGTGTTGAGGAAGCCATGTGGGTCACAAGAAGCACTGAGAGAGCAGCTGGGACATGGGGAGATGGATAGGTTGTTCCGCACTGAGCACCAGTAACAAGGTTCTGGGGAGAATATCTTAACTTTTTTTGGCCTTTGGACCATTTCCCTCTCACCTGTAATGCCCAAAGGTGTTTTCTGCTTTTCTCCAGTGTGGTTTGTATCTCAGCAGGGTACGTGCTGCAGAATTTTCTACCTCTGTTTTGCTTTGCACCCAGAATGAACAAAACACAGAATCTGGGACATGCACAATCCTATAGTCTGATATTTTTGGTCGCCCTCTCCATTCTGCAATATTCCCACTAGACCCCAATGTCTTTAAGAAGTCAGTACACACACAAAAAGGTTCACATGTATCTTAAATTTTTCCAGATGTGTCTTCTAAGTACAGCCTTTCTCTCTTTCCCCTTGCCTTTCATTAGGCCATTGCAACACCCAACAATCTTTTGTTGCCTGGTAACATTAGCACAGTAAGTTTAATGTCCCATGGCCTCCTTCTACCACTGCAGGTGGTATTTGAAGTTAGTCCTGAGAGGGACCAGCAAGAAAGTGTCACTGATGAGAAGGTGATAAAATGTATAGAGGAACATAAGGCTCTGCTGCTATTTAAAAAGGAAACTCCTGAGAACAGTTTAAGATGCCATGATCTGTATTTTCAGGCTGTGGACTGGAAGGCCTAAGGAAAAGCATATCAAGACCGTCCTTATTTCTTTATTTAATGAGGTATGGTGTTTAGCTGAGGAATTTAAATGATTGACTGATAGGTATTTGGAATTCTTGAGGGTCATAAAGATCAACGCAAATGGATCAATTCAATATAACTAATTTTGATGGGGTGACAACTGCTAGCTCTTTTTTTTTCCCTAAACAAACTATGAATCTTTTTTTCTCTTCTTGGAACACTGAAGTAAAGGGGGAGTCTTGTTTTCCAAGGAAGTGCAATATTAAATGTCCCCATGTTTGACACGAGCACTTACAGACAGATGTAGCTGTTCTATCTCTAAAAGAAAGAAAACATTGAAAACCAGCAATTTCTTAATTTCATGATTCATTCATTCATCAGCTGGTCCTTTGACACTTTTTCTTAATTAATAGAGTTGTTATGAGACAAAGCAGCAAGAGAGACACATTAAGCAAGGAGAAAAAAAATCCATTGAGAAATGTTTTATATTTAATTACAACAGTCATGCAGTGAGCATATGTGCTATGCCACATCTCAAGCAGAATCAGCGCATCGTTGTGTCCTTGAAGAAGTGACCTTCAGAAAGAGCAATTAGCTTTTTAACACTTTTTCTTTTCTATTACCAGTAATGTTTCTGATAAAACAAGACAGTTTAACAGTTTAATTTTGTCTTCTTCCAGAACACAGATTTGCCATGTTAACATTTTCAAATGTACAACCTCACGGGCTGGGAATATAGCAGTGCTGAGGGTCCCAGCTTGAAAGGCATCTCAGGACAAAGTGCACAGAGAACAACGCCAGATGAAACACCAGCAGCCATCCTGTAGTTAATGGCACATGCCTTCTGCATGGCTTCACACGGGACCCTCAGCCACGTGGTGCTTCAGTCTCCCCAGAGAAAAATTTAGAGTAACATTGTGTTACCGAACCTAGGTCTAATGTAGAACTGCTTACTAGAGAGAAATCTAAACAAAACAGTAGTATTTTGATAGAGGCATATTCCAGCAGACTTCACTTAA